AACTTGAACTTCACGTGTTTATTCTCCTTTCTTCAATTTCGTCGTAAATCGAAAAACATCGAGATAAAATCGTATTATGAGGATAAGAGTACCCTATATATACTAATGAAATACACGATTGCATCATCTTAGGTACAATTGACAAAAGGCTGAATAAATTAAAGTCAGCTTGAAAGCTGAAAGTAGTACAGCCTGAATAAATTCAGATGCATTATGAGTAAAGCCAGCTTGAATCCTAAATAAATTCAGCTGAAGAATGATTGCGATCTCAACAAAGGTAGTTTCTAGCGTACATCTGTAGAACTGTTCCGCTTAGAAAGCTTTGTAACGTCAGTTAAGTTTGCTTTCGCTTTCTAAGTGACACTGAACACGTTCATTCTATTTGACCCTCATGCATGCAAATTGTTATTCGTCCAGATGTATGATCTAAAGTTTGCTGAAAGTACATTATTTAGTGCACTATTTGTAAAGGTTTCCAGGCAAAAAATAACCTCCAAAACAACAAAAATCCTTCTCAGTTTTATATTATTGCAGTCAACGTGAAGATTAAACTTATCAAGCTTGCGAATTTTCCTAAAACTGTACTCAGTATGAAAATCTACTTTTTTAATTAAACGCATTACAAAGTTTAAAAAACTTAGAAAAACTAAGTTGTCGCCACAAAACACAAATTCGATCAGTTCACTAGCTTGTTCACATCGTAACATTACTCGGACCATTCTAAACTATGATTTACTTGCATTTGCAGGGGTATTTTAGCGAGTGAGCGAATGTATGATCAGGCGGGTGTCATCTTCGTTCCCGGAAAACAAGGGGAGGTCCTGCGTTCTACGATTCGAAGATGGCCGCCAGATACCCGAACAAAATTCAACACTGCTCACCCGACAAAAACGCCTGCACTGCAGCCTAAGGTCCATTCTAGTACTTGACGGGCTCACCAACGCTGACTGGTGGAGGCATAGGAGGTTGGCCTTGTGCTTGAGGTGGAGGATACTGGGCTGGCTGCTGCGGATAGCTTGGATACGGCGGAGGAGGCTGAGCATAGCCTAGTGGGGGCTGGTTGTAATTCCCTGGCGGAGGGTATTGCTGCATCTGCTGCGTCGACATTTGCGTTGTCGTCACGTACGGCTGGTTTGCCGGCTGCGACACAATCACTGTCCCTGGCGAACGATGGTGATAGCACGGGCAACACGCACAACAACAGCAAGCCACAATGGATATAATGATGGCGAAAAACACGACCGTGCTGATTATAGCGGCGGCAATAACACCTCCGGTCCAAACGGTTGTATAGCCTGGAATGTCAGTAGTGCACACTGACTTACAGTCGCCGCCATCACAACACACTTCGCCTGTGCCACATTGGGAACTGTAGTAACAGTAGTAACAGGTTTGTCTGCAGACACTATCTGAACAACAAGTCTCTCCCGACCATTTGTCGCAGTCACTGTCCAAAATACAGGATGTAGCGTTTCCGATCACAAAGAAACAGCTGAAGAGAAGGCAAATAACTTCCGCCTTTGACGCCATCGTTCAAACCTTGAGGACGAGACTGTGGGACGAGACGAGACTTTGTCAGGGTGTGTGTGGTTGGCTCGGGTCCAAACTCATACCAGTCTTATGTTTCGGCGTCACGCATTCGTACGTCACACACTCCAACGTCTGGCATTGTCACAAATCGAGAGACAAATGAAGGGTAAAAGGGATCAGTCTATCAGTAACACAGCTGTTAGTCTACTTGTATATTTGGAGTTATAGGTAAGTAGAGATCTTCCTACCTTGATTAAGAAACTGCTAACCGTTTCATTAGGTGGGAGGAGCTGGGAGCAGCTAGGTGGGATTCGGTGAAGGGGAAATACCAAAGAATATGGCCTCAAATGGGGGGAGGTATGGGGCGACTTAAAATTAGCCCCCTTGAGTGTGTAATGGTATTATCAATAATAGTGTGGAAATTGCATTCCAGATGTTTTGTAAATTTGAATTTGTCACGGAGAGCAACGCTCCTGGATCCATCTACTGCGTTATTCCACAAAACAGCATCATCTCATCTCCTGTCAGCTGGTTCTGGTTGTAAAGTTGCATTTCCACAGATGACTGTCTCTCCTTGATGAATAGAAGCAAAAGTTTTATCAGGTTTCTGGGCATCCTGACCGAGGCAAAGCCGGCGCTCTGTTTTAGGCTCTGCTTTGCTTTTCCATGTTTTTGCTTTTTGTTTTAATGAATTTATGCGCTGTAATGATGGCATCAGTATCATAGTGCAAAAATTATTTGATCAAATACGTATATTACAGTTTAAAAGAGTTAACTGATACGTCTTTGGANAGATCTACAAAAAAATATATCAATAAAAAATAAATGATTCTGTGGTGAAATAAACAGTTTTCATGAGCTACATCAAAATATGACTTAGTTATGTTTCATTGTTTTTACTTTCAACTCGTGACTAGTCTATTACTTTGCTAATCATTGGGAGGAGGGTCCAATCCGTTCTCGGGACAAAAGCTAAGAGGGAGGGCATCATGAAGACTGGGTACGAATTCCAAGTACTCAACCCAGTTTCTTTCGTCCGGAATAGTGCGCCTGCGCGATGAAGTCCCGTTCTCTTACGCCATCGCGCCGATCAAGTCATCCTCGTGTTTAGCGAAGGAAAAACTCTTTTGATGACATTTTAGCAGGGCTTTGTCTTTTCTGTTGTTACAAATATCACAAACAGGTAAGTTTTAGTTTACTTGTCTTTCGCAGGTCGTTTAAACTGTCCAAAATCTCTTCAGGTTTCGAAGTTAGCACTCTCGCGACTTTACTTGAAGTCGACGCATGGTTTCTGCATGCCCGCTGTATCCGTTTTGTGGTAGTTGAGTATGAATGGACTGATGTAGATAAAACTTTCTTGCTAGATGGGAGTAATCTTGTTGTTAACTCCACCATTGTCCTTGTTAGCGAAAATACCAAGAGTGTATATGCCTATAAAATGTAAACAAGCTTATATATGAAATCGTATCAGGAGGTAAGACCTACATAATTTCTAATGTTCTTTTTTGTGGAGCGTTCCATACTATAATTTAACACCGGCATGACTAGATGTTGGATAAGCTGGTGCATTTTGGGGTAATAATTTTAATTTCTGTTCTTTGATCATATTTCACCTTCACTCAATATCAGAAACAATGTCATTTCGTTGCATTGAAAATAGGAGTTCTTGTTTTCTTTTGACATTTCTTGAAAATACGCCTTTACAGTAGCATCTTGTTTTACTTTATTTTTTCATTCATAATAAATGAATTATTATAGATTTATAGAAATCAGGATGCTAATTCTTCTGTTGGAATATTATAACTTGGAAATATGTAAATAATAGTATATTGAAAATTTTTAAGTGGCAAATTTGTTAACGATTTCAATTACACCTTGTCAATATTTTTCTCAGCGCTTTAAAAGTATCAGGGTGTAATTATATATTAAGGCATTTTCATGCTTAACCTCAAAAATAACACTTTTTTGAGACCAAAAGAAGATCATAAACACTAGTTTAACATGCCCAGATTTTAGAAATGTATGCATTTGCTCACA